TCTGGTGGACCCACCACATTATTATTTTTTTAAATCAATACAGCCATAACAATTTGTGTAAAAATGCCAGATGTTTAAAATATTACAGGTGTCCAGCGTAGGGCTCTCCTTTAGCAGCTGTAGCCAGTCGGCAGCCTGTCCATGTTGTCCACCCTCACACACACACACACACACACACATATATATACACATACACACACACAAACTAACAGCAGGCCATGTAGGAGGAGAACAGAGTGAAGAGACACAGCACCTCCACACTTTTATTCCCCGCAAGTTCATCCCAACACCACGTGTAATATAAATTTGTAGGGGGTGAACAATGTGAAGTCACTGATAATGTGTTATTTTATATGTTCTTCACAGAAAATCAGCAAAGGCCACAGAATATGGGGTAGAAATGAAAATGGGTTCCACAGACCCGAACACCACACAAGGGTAAATATGACATTTTTCTGCAAAATTTTGTGTTCATTTAATCATATGCTGAGTTTAATGTATTGGTGGAAAAAAGCTAAAATAAAATATTGGGCTTCATTCATCAACCGTTCTTAGGAAATTTCTTCTTAAAACAGACTTACGTAGTTTTCACGAAGATTCTGACATTCACCAATGTTTTCTTACCTTGGATTTGTTCTTAGGTAAGAACAGAATCTACACAAACCCAAGAGCACTAAGTCGCAAACAATTCTGTGGTTTAAGAACACATCATGAATTTGACGTAGACTTTTTCTCAGGAAGAAATTGAAGAAAAAACAAGATATTGGTGAATGAGGCCCATTGTTATGTACCATGACCTTTGCACATGCCGTGTTTTATGTTTTATTTTTTCCCCCAAGATGTTATGATGTAATAAACAGTAATTGTGCATGAAAATGTGCAGAAGTGTGCTGTCTGTAAAGGATTTGTTGACTTATTTTCACTATTTCACTATTGAAAATTAGCAAAGCATGTCATGTGGCCATATGACTGAATATATGACACAGATTTCTATGGTTCATTTTTCAAATATAACTTTTTTACTGGCTGTCGCACCAGCCCTCTATCAAAATAAGCCCCAAAACTGCAACCTCTAGAGCAGGGGTGCCCAAACTTTTCATCCAGGTGGGTGGCAGCGGAGGGGCAAAGCAAAATGTTTGCAGTTTGCTCAGGGCTAAAAAAAATAAAACAATATACAAATAAAGAAGGTGGGTAGCCTTCAAATCGCAATTTTAAAAATGCATTTTATAATGTTACACTTACTTTTATTACTAAAATACTTCAAAAATAACATTTTAAGAGGAAAAAAAAATGCTTAGTTACACATAGTATAAAATTTGTTTTTTGGGGGGGGGGTTCTCATAGGCCAAATCAAAAGTTGTCATGGGCCAACTATCCCCCTTGGGTCACTCTTTGGGTAGCTGCTCTGGAATTTACCCAGATATCTAGTTGTTATCATTGACTGTGATTACAAAAAAATATAGCAAATGGAAGACCCTCAGACAAGAAGCGTGTATCACAGTATATAAAGTTATAAATTCATAATTAAGAGTCACATTTCTTTGTCTGTATCTGTTTCTGTGCTTCTACAGCTGATGACCTCTTGTCACCAGCACAGAGCAGATTTCTGAGAAGCCCTTTCTTCTTGGAAGCTCTTCCATGGCGTTTGTCTTCAAATAAAAGCTTTAGACAAAGTCCTGGAGAGGATGGGAGCAGAATTGCCTGTGATGTGGTCCAGCAGATGATGTTTTGTCAGTTTATCCTTTTCTGTCCACTGCCAGGGGCCGCTAGCTATGGCTCTGGCGCCAGAGTTGTCTTAGTGAGAAAAACCCTTTTGTGGAAGCATGAGCCTGAAATGAGCTTAGAGAGCCCCTGCGAGCAGTCTGGAGAGCAGGCAGGACACCCAAAGAGAGCCATAAGCTTGTCAATGGGAGTAATAAGTCTAGACCTCTGGTCCTCAATAGGAAAAGATTAATTACAACATATGCCAGTAACAAAGATCTCCTTGTTGCAGTCAAATGCTTTGCACTGGGCTGCGAAAAGTTTAGCGTTAAAGGTATTTTGAACATATCAATGTAGAAGTTGTTTTTCATTCCAGCATCATCTGTGGGTGGCGGGGCAGTGGGGAACCTTGTGATTTTCATTTTGTGCTACAAAAGAGGCATTTGATACCGATCCTTATGTCCCTTCACTAGCCAGTTGACGCTAGTGGACCATCTACTGTGGAGATTGAGCCTTTCCTGCGCACAGCCTCAAACAAAATATATAACCTAATTATACAAAGATTCCTTTCAAGTTACCCTCAAAGCGAAGGGTTATACATGGCATGTGTTGCAGATATTGGTTTCTTGGTCCTGGTCCATTGTTATCATTAGACTACTTGCCTTCGCCTGATTTCAAAGTAATCTCGTCCCTGCATTGTCTCTAAAGTGGGGTCGTATCTCGCTATTATCAACTTGTCAAATTTATCTGCATATTTCAGCTGAGCGTTCACAATCTGAAATAGGAAAAAGGCTATTTTGAAATGTCATATCGCTGTGTAGAGGGCCATCACAATGGAATCAAGAGTGTATGAAATGGTCTGTCTGACATGGCAGGGTATAGATACTCTACACAGCGCCCTACACAGTGTTAAAAATATCCCCCCTCCCCACTCCCACTGACCCACCAGACAGACTGGGCTTTCGGAGGAGAATTATCTCCCCCAAAGTCTGCTCGAGCACCGCCACAGACGGACAGATATACTGAGAACAGACGCATGCGAGCACAGATATAGATAAAGCGGCAGACAGAAATCAATGCCCATCCCCTCACTGACTCATACAGTGCTACTCTTTCACCATCAATGGGAACTGGACACTTGACTAATGGAACTGATTGGGAGACGTCACTAATGGGACCTCATTTTTTTCCAATGATGACTATTCTGACTGAAAAAAGCAGGTTATCAGCTTTTACATCTACTCACTCAGGGTTCAGCACTTTTAATACCATACTAAATTAAAAATGAACATTTAAAACAGTGAATTTAAATCAGAATTTAAAACTGTATAATCAAAACAGCCTTCCATCTTTTCTGATGCTCATTTGCCAATTTTGTGGAAATCACTGTCAGTGATCAAAACTAGGCAGCTGGGTGCATCTAATCAGAATAAAGTGGGTGGAGAAAGGGGAGAGGGCTTATGTAATGCATGCCCCTAGTACGAGTTATTAATTTTTTTCAGGACACGTTTCTGACATGATTGCATATAAGATAATCCACTTGCATAAGGAGGAGGGATGTCACAGGAAAATAAGTGGAAAAAACTGGAGTTTCCAAAACTGGAGTTCAAAACTACCATGACTCCTAACTACCATGCAAGACCTGGCAGACCACCAAAACTGTCCCTATCTGATACACGGCACTTAAAGCTTTCATCTTTGAGAGAGAGGAGAAAAATCAACCTACTTCACATCTGAAAAAATCCACAGGTGTTTCTGTCCTTCCTTCCACTGTGAGAAGACAACTCAACGCTATGTGTCTGAAAGTATGTATAGCTGTCAAGAAGCCTCACTGAGAAAAGAAAAATAAAAAAAAGAAGAAATTTTGCGAATCAAACAAAGAAGCTGCTGGAGTTCTCAGAATAATGGATTGTCCACCCCAGAGTCCAGACCTCGACATCATTGAATGTCTATTACTTGTATCGTCATAAGTAGAAAATGCAACCAACTTCTAAGACTGAATTTTGGAGGTGTGGAAAAATATCCAGATTTCTTAGAAAACCTCAAAATAAGTCTCTTGAAAAGAATGGAAGCAATAATGAAGGTGAAGGGTAGACACACTAAATACTGGAAAAAAAATAGCCAAAATCAGCTAAATATGTTTTTACATATGTTTTGTGATGTTGAAAAACAAATAGCTTGTACTAAATGGCCATTTTGACTGGAAATTAAATAAATGAAGAGTGGTCTCTGACTTTTGCATCCTGCTGTATATAATTAAACCTTTATAGAATCAAGATATTTTTAACATCTAAAATATTGAAAACTAAATTTTAGTGTTCCCCGTGACCCAGAAGGATAAGTGGCTTAGACAGTGGATGGAATTTTAGTATTCAGCTGAAAAGAAATTCAATTGACAATTGATCACAATTTAAAGTTGTATTAAAATCTGAATATATGTGTATCGTTTCACCCCTGCTACTCATACCTGACCTGAGTAGCCTAATCTGAATTTAGCTACTGTAAGTGTATATAAAGAGAGCATGGTCTTGTGGCCTTGTGTATATGTGTCAGTACTTGCGGGCAGCAATTTATACGACAAATCCCCTCATTTGGCATTCACATTTCCATGAATAAGAGATGTGAGACAGGGTAAATATAGGTCTTCGTGAAACTCTATCAGGGAGGATGCATTCAGCATTGTATCCATGAATACTACAGCACTGAGGTGTGTCTTGGTTACCCCCCTGGGATATCAGGTCGTTCAGTGCCTTTCTTATTGTTTTGAACAATGACATGATGCACAAACACTGCATGTACAATGAAAGACAAATGGATCAGATTAAAACGTAATGGATTCCTGATCACCATAATAAGCCTGCTGAGACTATATTACCTTTAAAAAAAAGCATGACGCCGGGAGCTGCTGAGACCAGTTTGATGCAGAACGAGGTAATAAAAAGCCACAGAAGCTACTGACCAACACTGAAGCTTCTGATGCCCCCTAGTGTTTAGAAGAAGCCTCCACACTTTTGCTCCTAAGGTCAGTTACATTCTGGGTCAGCTGCACGCTAAACTGAACTGCGTTATCAATTACCAATTTATCAATGAATATCAACACTAATATAGGGTTAGGCTTAATCTGGGTCTGGAACACCAGCCTGTAGAGTTTAAATGAAATGAACATTAACTAATGCATTTCAAAACATGCAGTATTCATGAAATGTTAGATTCTCTTGGTGGGGCCACCATTAGAGCTCATTTGCTGAAAACACTGTTAGCCTCACAGTTCAGGAAATATAACACTTTATAAGAAACAATTAACTTAAATATTGTGTAGTTTTATTTCTCCTTTAAATACCATTACTTGGAGTGAGAGTAATATTCATGTTCTGTGCAAAACAATAGTAAATAATTCTTTTAAAAAAATAATTATGAAAAAATATTTAAAGAATATGATATAAAAGATATACTACATGAAAACAACTTTGGGTTGAAACATACTATTTAACAATAAAATACTATCCTAGGTTCTCAGTTTCAATATGAATATTGCGTGTCGTCACTGTCGGAACAAAATCTTGTATCTCTAAAATGTAACTTTATAGGAGAAGGAAAAATATTTTTCAACCTATAATGGAAAATAATGGAATAAGATTTTTTCCAAGTAACTTTGGACCATTTCTGTTGGTCCGTTTGTCAAGGAAAGTGAACGCACTTTAAAGGGTAGCTTGGGTTTTCAAATCATGCAACAAAGTCAAAAATAACGAAAAATGGAGATACAAGGTTTTTCAGTGACCTAAGCAATGTAAGTGTTATCACTGCAGTGCTTATTCATGGATATATGCTTAAAAATGTCATTCCGAAGGCTTTCGGAAAAACTACAAAATGGTAAAATACACATGTACAACATGACGTGAAAAAATAGAATACGTACAGGGCGGCCTGTTCTAAGACATTAAGTATTTAGCGGAGGAGGAAAACTTGCACGAAACTCATGAAGGAATTTCAGGAAACTCCTCCACTGGGAAGTCCAGTATGGCTCATATCCTGACAAACACATTCATAAAAACACTGACAGAAAAACACTCGCAATTTGCTCGACCCTAGAGTGCTTTTCGGTTGGCTTATGGCTCACTTTCACTCATAACTGAGTCACCATGCTGATAAATGTGGTAAATCCTTCAACAGCGGCAATATTGCAGTCCCGGGAAGAAGCACAGCTGTGGGCTTCAGTCAGTCCAACAAAGCTGTGGCCTCCTCGGCTGAAGCGCAAGAGAAGAACTTAGGATAGAGGCTATTGTTAAAAGGCACATGAAGTGAGGATGGAACCCGAACAGTTTGAAACACGGCACTTGGGTCCATCTTAAGGTGCTGTGTGTTAGGAACTAGAGTTCTAGACATCCACTTTGAGTTTGTCCGTGCTGCCGTCCTGGTCCTGGTCCAGCTTTGCCAGGGTCTTACGCACACGTAGGGCAGTGAGGCGAGCTGAGGGGCTCTGGAACCAGCACTCCTTCATAATTTTAGCAATGGTAGACAGGATCTGCGCACAAGACATTATTGAACAATGAGACACATTCGTCATGAGTTTATTGGCTTGACATGAAATCTGGTTATGCATGTAATGGGTATGACTTAATAAGTGGATTGTGTTCCTCTGCTCTGTTTGGATGTGGGAGTACAACAGCGCAGAGCATTGTTCACAGTTTATGTCAAAACAACCACAGCAGCAATATAAAGCTAAATTGCTTTTTTCCAGAAAGCTTGAACAGTTTTCATGTGAGCAGTTGTGGAGAAACATTCATACTGAACTGTATTTTGGAAGAAAACACTGACTGGATGATTGTTTTTTGACAGAATTAAGTTATGCTGCTAATACAGTTAACTTTGCACATCTACTCAGGACTGCACTCTTTGCACAATTCACATTCTTATGCATTTTACTGTCTGCCCCATACTGGCCCTTATTCATCAAGATTGCAAAAAGATGAGTGCAAATGGGAGAGCATGGAATGACATACAAAGTACTCTGTGTCTGATTCATGAAACTGTCATCAGAATGAGCAGAGATTAGAGCGCCGTCGATGAATCAGCTTCAGTGCATGGAAAGAAACGGATGCACGCAAGTTTCTGATTGACATATCATTTGCACGTGGCATGTCCCCAGTTACAAATATATATATAATTTACATAAAACACTCTAATTCATGCAGATGTTATGAAGGTGGGCCAATAAAAAAATAATCAAAGCATTCTACAGGCTCATGAGCCAATGGTTGTCCTCTTAGAGGAATAAAGAGGAATTCCAGCCTAAAACTAGTTTTTAATATGTTATTGGGTTTTGTAGTTTTCTGGGGCAGCACTGCATCCTTTAGCCTCATAGGTTTGACAGAATTCATGATTTTTTAGCATTTTTGTCAATCAGTGCATAATGTAAAATACATCACACAATCATTCCCTACTGCGCTCTACAAATCCTGACTGCTAACCTCTGATTTAGAGGCAAAAATACACCAGTGGCGCTAGCTTGCGTTGGTGATGTAGCACTACCCTCATTCTCTTCAAACTATTTTTTTTTCCTGGTTGAAGGAATAATTGAGTTGAAATATTAGCCAGCTAGCGAAAGAAAATTAATAACCATCTATTTAAGGATTCTTGTGTGCACATTTATTATGACCATTGTTATTTTCTATATTTATTGATGCTGTTGATGATTAATAACAATTTTGATGATTTAACACTAAATCAAGCATTTTTACACTCAAATTTCCATGCACTTTAATTAGACACGAGTTTCATTATACAGGCACATCAAGAATGAAATTGATGAATAACAAACCTGTCTATAAAACTTGCGTTTGATACAGAGATTTGTTGTAAATGCGATGAATAAGGACCAATGTCTTGTTCTGTGTATGTACTGTATTGTAAATAGTGTTGTCTTTTGAACCTACTGTTGAGCATTTATTTTAAGTTAGTGTTGTCCTCTACTGTGCCTTGCTTAACTGTAATCTATGTGGTCTAAGTCTTGGTCACTTGTACTGTGTGGTCCTATAAATACTGGAGGAACATCGTTTCATTTCACTGTACACTTGTATATGGTCAGGATGACAAAGGTCTTCTTGAACTGCTTACCGGATGAGAGTGCAGCCTGTTGTGAAGGCAAGGCCTGTACTGGTCCACACACACCACTTTCTTCATCTCCTCAAAACTGGGGTCAGAGGGAACCACATCGAAGAAGGGCAGACGGTATTCCTCTGTGATTCCTGCACAGAAATGAGGAATTTTGCAGCACATTTAATCAATGTTTGCAGTCACCTACAGTCAATGTTGCCCCTGACAAAAGGGCAGACATTTGCTGAGACTAAAAGTCAGTCCAAACCATATCTATAAAACAGCGGTTTGGGTTTTTAAGAAGTTTGAAACAACTAGTAGTCTTGTGGGAGGCAGGCTGGACAATATCCAGAAAGCTTATGTTCATGGGGCAGCTGACATTTTGGGGGAAAAGAGCAGAGAGCAGAATTTGGTATCAGTAAGAGGGAGTGAGGCTATAATTGTATATCCTGTACTGCGTGACATGAGAAAGAATGAGAAAGACATGCCTTTTCAGTTTGGCAACAAATCTACTTTAAATGATGATAGAGGTTGCAAAAAAGCTACAAGATTACAGGGGTACATATTGTTTTTCAGCGTAATCGTTCATCAAGCATGGTGTTTGCAGATTTGTGTGTGTTTGAGAGAGAGAGAGAGAGAGAGAGAGAAAGAGAGAGAGAGAAAGAAAGAGAGAGAGAGAGAAAAGCATCTGGACTCTATGAGGGAAAGTGCTGACACTAGATAAGACTGTTTATAACTGCTAGACTGCTAATCGTGGGTGGATAGTGGAAACAGACACAGACAGAGACAAAACGAGAGGGCGGGTTGGCAGGACAGCAAGACAAGGGAACTCTGTGGAGTGATGTGAGAAATATGGTAGATATTTCCTTTACGCTTATCGCAATGGTATGATGGATGATTTCTTAGTAACAGAACAAATGACGTTATTCATATACTTACGAAAGTGGTCTCAAATAGACTTAAAGTAAAAAACTATCTATGTCAGGATACTACTGGAGAGTGGTGAATAGCTTTATTACATTCATCCTCTGAACAGTGAGGACAAGGCTAGGTAAGTAATCCTTGTACTTAAATCAATATCTAGAAATGTACAGTACAAAAGTCAGAGACTTCTTTAACTTTAAGTCAAAACATTCCTTAAGTACAAGTTGTTTTTTTTCGGTGTCAGAAAGAAAAGAAAACATATTTAACTGACAATTACACAAAAGCCTCAACAACTAAATATGATAACAAAATTTTCAGTATTTGTGTCCACATTTTATTACAGCTTCCATTCTTTTCAGCTGTTAAAGGAATCTGCAGGGATATTTTTCATCATCTCCAACATTCACTTTTAGAGGTTGGCTGGATTTTTTGCTTTTCATGGTCCAAGTAATCCCAAACACATTCAGTGAGGTTGAGCTTGATTTCCTACAATCTTTCAACTATAAAAGCTTTAAGTACTCTTTATCTGATGGTGACAGTTTTGGCGATTTAGCATGGTTGTGAGGATTCTCAATTTCTTATTATCATTTTTAACAGATTTGGAAACTTATTTTCCTTTAACATTCCCCTTCCTTATGCAGGTGGATTGTTTTACATCTAATTTCTTCAGAAAAATCGCCTGAAAATTTAACAACTTGTACTTAATGGATGTTTTGACTTGTAATTAAATAAATAAAGGGTGGTCTCTGACTTTTGCACTGTACTGTAGCTTATGTGTAAACTTTACAAATGACTACCTAAACCTTGCAGTAACCCTCACAGATAAGGTCTTACAGAAACAGTACCTTAAAGTGGCCATTAAGTTCTGGATCCACTTTTTGGACTTAAATCTAGCCTTGGACTAAAATACAGTTTCTATATGGTTTCTGATCAAGTCTCAGAATAGGCTTAAATCCTAAAATCCAGTCTAGTACCAACCATTTACGGTGGTGCGACGGGTTATTTCCCACAGAACGAGGCTCAAAGCCCAGATATCAGTCTGCTTGTAAGACTCAAAGATGTCCACACGAATGCTCTCATCCAGGACTTCTGGAGCCATGTAGCGCTTGGTGCCCACTCTTGGGTTGTTCCCCACATCTAAGTAGTCGTTCGATAGAGAGTGAATGACTGCCAGACCTAGAGAATCACAAAGAGAATCGCCCACCAGCGGGTAGTTCAGTATTTTGCATTTGATTTCATTGCAAACCCCAATAACATAAAATTAATCTATTCTAAACAGCTGGTAAAAATATAATTTGCCACAAACAGCTTTAGTTACTGACACTTGGTTTTGTAGAAGTGCTATAACATTTAAACGTGTGTTTACTAATGGTACTCACTCCATGCCCATCCAGATAAGTTTTCACAAATGAGATCTGCCTATTTGAACCCTTCACTCACCCAGGTCAGCGATGCAGCACTGGCCGTTCCTCTTCACCAGAATGTTGCGGCTCTTGAGGTCACGGTGGGCGATGGCAGGCTTGCCCTGGGTGCCAAGGATCTCCGTGTGCAGGTGCACCAGACCACTGGCCACGGACAGGCACATGCGCAAACAGCCCTCAGGGTCCAAAGTGCTGTACTGCAAGAAGTCGTAGAGGGAGCCCAGCTCGTGGAAATGAGTGACCAGCCAGAGCTGTGTACTGGAGTTCTTGGATGTCATGTCTGATGCAATAAAACCTGAATGTAGATAGGAAGACTAGTTAATGCACAGATTATTCGGCTTCCCTAGGGGTGCCCAAGTCCAGTCCTGGTGATCTACCTGCCTAGATTAATTTCAACCGCGAGCCAGTTAATGAAGGCCTTTACAAGTATCTGAAAAGTCAGATACTAACTAAACTCTCCAGGGGGATAGATCACTAGGATGGGACATGGGAATGCCTGATTGAGGGTATTTGATGTTAACAAGGACAGAGAGTGATGGATAAAAACACCACTCTTACATACAGTGTTCAAAAGTAGTCTTGGGACATTACCTAAATACAGCGTATGTCTTGTTTATTTATGACTTTCCAAGTTAAGGTTTTCATTTATTCATTTATATCTGTCAGAAAAGTTACAACAACTAGCAATTATGATCAGGTTTACTAAAGCTGAATTAGTTTCAACAGATTAGTTACAACAACTAGCAATTATGACCAGGTTTACTAAAGCTGAATTAGTTTCAACAGATTAGTTACAACAACTAGCAATTATGACCAGGTTTACTAAAGCTGGGCCAATACTAGACAATTTTTTGCCTGATTTTTACCCTGATTTGCCTCTTCTGACAAATTTTCACAATCTGAAGCAAATTTCCAGGTTGGGAACTCAATCTGAAGAAATTGATGAAGTGGATGATGTGGTAGTGTGAGAGGAGAAACAAGTCACTCTTTAGCTTTCCGTTTCAGCTCTGAAGAGATTGAAGGCCCTCTGATATGTGTGTCAGTGATTCAAGCAACAGCCAATGAAAGAGCAACAAGAGTGGAGAAAAAAGGTGCAGAGACATACCTGTACTCTGCCACGTGAACAGCGGGGAAAGGAGACAGAGGAGCTGCTTGTGGAGCTCAGAGAAAATAATCTCTGAATTTCAAGTCAGCAGCCAGTTTGTAGTCATTTTTTTCTCCAGCTCTGACTGTGATATATTTGTGTTTTCACTACACTTGCTGGGTGTGCATGAAAGCCCAAAGAGGTCCAGTCCAGTTTAGCTTTGTTTGTTTCATGTGATAACGGGGGAGATGTGGGATTTTGAGTGCTTTTCATAGCCAAAGCTCCCTGTGTGTGATGCTCTCTGTTTTTTGTAATGTGTTGGGATTTTATAGTTGTGTTGCGTGGGACCAGCTCACCTGAAAACTTGCGTAAGCAAGTAAACATACTCAAGCATTAGTGAGACAAACATTAGTGTCTCTTTCATTTATGTAGGTCAGTATTTAGTATTGCATTTATGTTAGTAATTTGTTGCATATTCTTTCTTTTGGTTGACAGCATAAGGTCTTTTAGTCTTAAGTGCATAAGTTTACACAACCAGGCTTGTTAGAGTTTCTCTTTTTGATGGCCAGAGCATAGCAGGTTTTAAACACTTCCTTTCTCTCTCCACCACTTCAGAACATTTTTTACACTTGATTTTTACACATGAGATTCTTCTTGTGAGTGAATGAGTGAGTGATTGAGGTGGTACGCATCTAAAAAAGGACAGAATGAGTGTTTATGATTCCTGAAAAGTATATGCACTAAAAGTAACTGGGTCTCACCTAAGATGTTTTCATGTCGTAGCTGGACAGTGTTGTAGATCTCCGTCTCTCGGAACCAGGACTGTTCATCTCGAGATGAAAAGATCTTTACAGCCACACTCTCTCCCATCCATGTGCCCCTCCACACCTCTCCATACCGTCCCTTGCCTGCCCCAAAAGTGCACACATCATGTTATTAAAGTCTAGAACACATATTGAAACCCATCTAACAGATAGAAAAGACAGCTGCACAGTTAGAACAGAGATGGTGCAGCTCACTCACCAACACATTCAACTAAGGAGATCTGTCGAGCCATGGTCCTCTGCACTAGGTAAGGCAGCCCAGTCCCGCTGCCTGATGTGCAAAACTCATCAAAGATGTCCTAGAGACAAAAAAAAAAAAACGCAAAACAAAACACATACTCTGCATAACTGATGACAAATAGTGATAAAGGTACAAAGAACATGTTCACTGTCATAACAAAACCTTGTATATGTGAAGCAGTAACTTTATACCAGAAGCGAAACAGTGTTGTTTCGTGTATGTTAATGTAATGTATGAAAATATAAAAAACAAAAATACTGTTTTTCAAGGTTTTGATGTGATGATATTTGGCAAAGCTGGAGTTTGTGCATGCTGACTGACTGTGTAGAGCAGCTCATACCCCATAGGTGGGGTCTCCTCCACAGGGCACTTTGAGCATGGAAGGCTCATGCTCTTGCAGATGCTGGTGCTGTCGTCGGGAACGCCGCCACAGCACCAGTCCTAACAACGCTATAAACACCACCAGCACCACCAACAGAGGCACAGCCACTAGCAGGATCACACTGTCTGGCTTACTCGGCTCTACTGGTGCACAAACACACACCATAAATGAAAACATACAAACAAACAAACAAACAAACATCTATATATATATATATATATATATACAGAGAGAAAAAGAAGTGAAGAGGATCTGATCAGGATGTTAATGTTAGTGCTGGACGGAACTGATAAAATTCAACATTATGGTTGTGAATTGTACTAATTATCCAATTATATCATAGATATAAGTTAATACAGTTAGTAAACCCTTGCTTCCCGAGTACTACAGCTCAAATTATATTGGTTGGTTAGATAATACTGACTAATACTGATGGCCCACAGTTTTATCAGTACTGGTAAATATATTGCTGATAATTAACAACATTTTTTGGTTGCGGAATCACCAGAATCTGAACTCATGATCTCCCAACAATTAAATACAAACACATCATGGTTTAAATAACAATAAACATGTAAAAACAAGTATCCAAATTGACGCTTTAACATGTGAGTAATATGTTATAACACACAAACAAAGCTTTTTTGCCATATGAAGTGAACTTGAACTACTGAAAAAGAAGTAAGAAAAGGGAAAAATCTGAAAATTCTGGGTAACTCTGTCCTCAGTGCTACAACATGTGAATGACAGATGTTTGTTTCACTTTAAGAAATGTTACCATTTAAAACTGACATTTCACAACTCACAGCTCCATTAAAGTTACTATATCAATTTAAAATCTGTTATAAATATGAAATTATATCTGTCATACTGGTCAAGCCCTGCTGAGTACTGTCCTAAAGAACATCTTAATTATTTTGACTAGACTGCTTTTTTGCTTTTTTAACATTGTATCCAAAGGAAGCTCACATAACCAAACACAAACAAGATTTCCTACATGGAAACTTACTATTTAATTACTTTTTATGTATTTTTAATTGTTCCTCCAAACAATTTGAAGCATGAAATTAATTACATTTATTGAGAGAAAATAATACTAATGCAGTAATAATTAAACAAGCTGTCTGTCTTATTGTCTGTCTAAATGCAGATTTCTTTATGAACATTATAGCAATGTTAAGAGTATCTACATTTGCTACTGTGCACCACTAGAGGGCAGTACTACTCTGCGAGTCATAGGCAATCACAGTCCCAGAGAGAAATCCCCCCAATACAGAAATTTACACTGATAATTGGCACAGGCAAAAGATGACTGCCGCCATGGGTTTTCAGAGCTGAAACAATACAGCAATTTATCAACACGATTCAAACACATATTACTCCACAAAAAATAAATATCATCGGTTCTCTTCTTAGAAACAAAAAGCCTTTATTTGGCTTTGGAATGGCTGTGGATAAAATATAAAAAAGGATTCTCAATGCTTTTGCTGATCGCCATCCTATAATAAAGACCAGTGCCATAGACATTTTACTTTGTATTTTTGTGCATGCTTTGAACTCCACTCCATAGATCACATTCTTTTTAAGAGTGTATATCCCCAATAAAAGCAATCTCTAATTCACAAGCACATTTTCAGTCAATACGTCACATATAGTTACTAACCTTTTGTGGGGACTGTTGTGTTGGCGTTGCAGTAGTCGGTATTGCAGCAGTGGACATACACACTAGGGATACTGGACACTAAGCACTGTTCACGATGTTCCATCATAAAGCAGCCTCTAGTTACCTGCCCATGGACCATTGTAAAGAAGCAGATATCACCCCTACAACTGCCTGGACTGTCACACGTATGTGCATGCTCACACACACACCACAACATGTCTTCCATGGTTTGGGCTGAGAACAGAGAGAGAGATACAGAGGAAGCCAGAGAGAGAGAGAGAGAGAGAGAGAGAGAGAGATGAGAGAGAAGAGAGAGATAAGAGAGAGAGAGATAAGGACTGCTTAAAATCAGGGGTAATGATAACATACGTGATGATATGTTATCGTCATCAAAAGTTCACTACAGTCACTAGCACACTGTGTCAATAGTGCTGTCACGATTACTTGATTAAAATCAAATGCTTGTTAATAAAATGAATTAAAATTTTAGTTTCAATGAATCAGCCTAGTGATTAGTTTTCACAAGGAGGGGCTATTAGCACTTAAGTCACTGTGCATCATTGAAAGAGAGGAAACCTACATGCGCAGGATGTCACTTAAGCATTATGTAATTTTCATGTATGTAAAGTAAAAGTAAATGTTGCAAATTGTGTATATATCAATGCACACAAAGTAAAAAATGCGCCACTTGAATGTCTGTTAAAGGTTCTAAATGTTTCAAATGTCCATATTTAAGTAGAGCTGGCCTAAGTAGTATTAAACACTGTGTAAGAAGTGAATGTACACCATTGCTAGCTTGACAGTAACATAACAATAAAAACCCCATAGACGTTGTCAGTAAAGTATTTGAAATCTGTGAAAGCCTCTGCACACTGTTATTTTATTCTGCCAACTAATATATGACCTACTTTAGTACAGTAGGTCCAATCCAAACACCTTCAACCATCCAAATCAGTGATCAATTCTAGTTCTGAGCTTGATTTATTAAAACCTTCATTTAATGGCTTCATTTAATCCTACCATAAATCCCAGTTAAGGAAATATACTCTCTTCACTACAAAGGATTTGATGTGATTTTGCTGCCTTTTATCTAAATGCACTCACTGGGCACTTTATTAGGAACACTATACTTATACTGGGTAGGGCTTCCCCTTGTTCTCAAAACAGCCTCAGGTTTTCATGGCATGGATTCCACAAGACGTTGAAAACATTCCTTTGAGATTCTGGTCCATGTTGATATGATAGCATTATGGAATTCCTGGATTTTTCAGGTGCACTTTCATGCTGCAAATCTCGTGTTCTACCACATTCCATTTAAATCTGGTAGCAGGAAAGGCCCCCAAAAAAACAGAACTCACTGTCATGCTCATGAAACCAATTTGGGATGACTTTTGCTTTGTGACATGTAATCCATTAGAAAATGATATGTTGTGGCCATGAAGGGATAAACATGATAGCAGCAATACTTAAATGGACTGTGGCATTCAAGCAATGATGGATTGGTATTAACAGGCCCAAAATGTGCAAAGAAACATTCCCCACATGATTACTCCACCTCCATCAGCTCAGACTCTTGACACAAGGCAGGTTGGGTCCATTGATTCATGCTGTTGGCACCATATTCTGACCCTGCCATCTGTGTGCCTCAGCAGAAATCGAGATTCAACAGACCAGGCTACGTTTTCCCAGTCTTCAACTGTCCATTTTGTGGTGAGCCTCTGACCACTGCAGCCTCAGTTTTCTGCTCTTGGCTGACAGAAGTGGAACCTTACCTGGTCTTCTGCTGTTGTAGCCCATCCGCATCAAGGTTCCATGTGTTGTACATTCTGAGATGCTTTTCTGCTCACCGCAACTGTACAGAGTGGTTATCTGAGTTAAGGTAGCCCTCCTGTCAGCTCGACCCAGTCTGTAGACCTCTCTCATCAACAAGGTGTTTCCGTCCACGGAACTGCCACTGATTGGATGTCTTTTCTTTATTGCACCATTTTGAGAAAGTCCCAGGAGATCAGCAGTTATAGAAATACTCAAACAAGCCAGTCTGACACCAAAAACTATGCAAAATCCATGGCCAAACCATGGTCAAAATCATGAGCTCACATTTTTCCACATTCTGAGGGTTGATGTGAACAATGCCCGAGGCTGTTGACCTGTATATGCGCTGAACTGCTGCCACATGATTGGTTGATTAAATTACATGAATGAGATGTCATAGAGGTGTTCCTAATAAAGTGCTCAGTGAGTGTATGTTATACACTGTTTAGACGGTCCCTTGACTAAATGACTTAGCTGGCCTTCTGAAATATGATGTTCAGCAACATATAACAAAATACGTTTTTAAAACATATTTGGTTGCAGTTCCGCGAATGTCCAAAATAAAATCTTACCGCGCTGTCCGTATCACAAAATGACCAAACAATAAACAAACAAATAAACAAACATCACTCATCACTGCCTTCTAAAGGCTTTTTAGCACCAGTCAGAACTTTTGTTGTTTTATTAAGACCTCTTACATGTCTCAATAAATGCCCTCTCTGAGTTCTTTTACTTACAAGCTTTGCCTCAACCCAACAGATGAGACTCACTCACATTAGATTTATTTGCTTGTGAAAGACAACAACTGTGGACAATAACTGCGATTAGCTAAAATAATTGTGATCAGGCAATTATATGATCACTGTGACAACCCTTGTTATATGTAATATTTAAAAAACTACATAAATATTAATGCACATAAATGTAGCTGATTAGCCTGAGCAGAAGCCAGGGTGCTAAGGGTTAAGTGAGTTCGTTAAAAGGTGTCCTGTCAAGCACAGCAGCCTCAGCTAAGCAGGAAGATACACATTTCCTTTGCTCTATTGTTTCACTGCAAAGGGAGCAAATCTCTACATCTGCACGCTGCTGAATTGCCATCACTAATGCACGTGCAAACATATACACATAAACAACCTACAAACAACAAAAAATAACCAGTGAAGATGCCAACAGCACTGTGTTTACTTTAAACATGCTGCCTTACCTGTGAGAACGGTGTGGATTCCTGAACACATCAAAGCGAGCAGCAGTGAGAGCCTTGCAGCGTCTTCCATCTCTGAAAATAAAACGAAAAAGAACTTAAAAGGCCTACAATACATTTTCGTTGAGTCACATCCGCCAAAATCACCCCCCCATCCCCCACCAACATTCACTTATCTACTGTCTCATCCTGCCCACCTGTGATTTAAAGCGGTTGTACAGATGGCTTGCATGCTATGTGAGCTGGACGTGAAGCCCCTAAATGGACGTGGAAGCCACAGCAGCCCCTGTCCCCACAGCAGAGGAAGTTATGAGTTGGAAAAGCAGGCAGTGTGGGTCCAGTCAGTCTGCCTGCGCTCTAATTGCTACAGTCAGAGTGGGTGGGAGAGGACTTTAGAGCGGGCCGCTGCGCGCCACTCTCCTCTGCCGACACACTGGCTGCTCGGCACGCAGAGTAAATATTGATGGCTATGCTTCCTGCCATTGAGAGGCCGCGCCCGGCTGGCCGGCCAGAGACAGGGGGTTGCTCATTCCTGAAGGTCTGCAAGGCTGCTGGACACGCAAACAACATGGCTGTGTTTTGGTGTTTGATTCATGGGAATAATTTAAGATTCGCAGACAGGAACAATGCTGTCCTGGGGGTTCGGTCCACTTTTAACATTCCATGGATGCAGAAAGTGCATTGAAAAAAGCAATGCACCAAATTTAAATTTACAGTGTTGGTGAACCTGACACTAAATACAAAGTTCATCCAGCCAGGAAATACCGATTTAAAATGTCATTTGCTGTGTACACAGTGCACAGTCGTCTATTAAACTTAGACCAAAGGAATAAAGAATAGTGAGATTTACTATATAGTTTACATATCGTCGCTGTCAGGAAAAGACCTTGAATCTCCAATAAGGTAAATTTACAGGAGAAGGAAGAAATGTTATTAACCCCTTAAAATCTCAGACTTATGACATACTAAGGCTTATTACTTAGTAACTACACACACTACAATGCAAACTAGTTGAGATATTCTTAGGCTATAGAAGTGTGTAGTAAAACTTGGGGCCCACCAGTGGGCCCTGGCCCTTTAAGGGGTAAACTGAATTGTGGACCATTTCTGTCGGTCCGTGCATCATAAAATATTAACACAATGCAAAGAGTAACTGGAGTTTTCAAATTACATGAAAAACGATAAAAAACAACAGAAATAGAGCTATAAAGTTTTTGCAAATACAAAGTTTATCCAGGTTGGATGTAAACTGAAACTAAGCTGAAATGTTACAGTTACAGTAACATGTTTCTGTTGATTTGCTCAGTGAAAATAAATCCACATTCTCTACAGTGAATACACTTCTGCTCATTTTACTTGCTGTTTATTTGCTCAATTGAACACATTGGAGGAAAAATAAAACATAATACGTGGCTTGTGCCAAAGTTGTTTTTTTCAATATGATAAATTTAGAATTAAGCTTGTTCCCTGAGGAGGACATCTAGAAAATCAACAAACATGTCGTCTGAGCATACGACTTTCGCACACTGGTAAAAAGTGATGCACTCAATTCATTTGGCTCAAATGTGTACATCATTTCCCCATGAAGAATATTTTATAAAGTGAATAAAGTATTTGATGTTAGTTCCATTATCTCCACAAAAGAACCTGCAATTTGCTCAATGCAAACCACTATATGAAGCACAGCTCACTACTCTGTCTTAGTCTATGCTCAAAAATGGTTCACTAAAACATCAGGAAGCATTTTTGTAGGGCTCTAGGACTGTAACTCCATAAGTATACAGTTTACTCCTCTGACGTAATGGAAAAATGGAGTCAGCCATGGTGTTTTGAAATAGATGAGTAGAGCTGTTATATTGCACGGGGCTGCACAGTGCTGTTATATATTTAACTAGACTCAGCAAAAAATGCCCTGGTTTACACAGAAAAGGCAGCAACCATATGCTTTAAAAAGCTTTGCTTTGGTGTATTTTTACTCATATTTTGTTTAGAATTTCAACACTGCTTTTACCCTTATTTCTAGTCTTATGTGGATGTACATTGGCACTAGACAAAAATATAACATCACAGCACTTCAAGGCAGTTTCATGACACTCAATAAGCATCACAATATTTATTTTCTGAGATCTGGATAAGTTAGAACAGACAAAAAGTGGTGTCACATTAAAAAATTGATGACTATGAATTTGATGATTTGTATCCAATGTTTCATGTGTTATATAATCTAATAAAAATAACAATGAATATTGTCACATTGCCCACAGTGTTAAAGGTCACACCAAAAGATACATATAAGGCTATGACTCACTTCATTTTACTTTTCATTCAACTTTACAACCATTTCATCTTTACTTGCACCTAGCAAGCAAGTATAAAAGGTAGCAAAAAAGATATTTCTATTTGTTCTTATTGCTTGTGGCTTCTAGTTTTATGCTGCCTCTTACTGTACTTAACAAACGTTAATACTACTGCTGACAGCTGAGAGTTCATCAAAGCACAATGAGTTTCACAATAGTTATCGTAAAAGCTCTCTAGGTGGACTTACTCATGTCTTAGTTCATTTAAACATTCCAGGGTATGCCTAATAGCTTGGTACAATTGTTTCTTTTTGTCTCCTTATTCTCTTTACTGCTGCTGTTTCATGTTAAATGTATCACCATGGTCGTTCCAACGCGTCGTTCCTCACTCAACACCTGGAAATGAGGCTTGACTATGCTTGCTTTTCTTGGAGATTCAAAGTTATGAAGAAGATATATTTGGGTACGTACCAAACTAAATAGTAGATTAGTGTTGTGGGAAATCTGTGAAATCTGTCTGAATAAAAGGTCTATTCAGAAAAGGAAGATCGCTAAGTAGCTAATTAGCAAGCGAGTTGGCTGCTCACAACATTAATGCAAAAATGTTGTTACTGTTTGGTCAGTAAGGTTCCTCTAGATAGCTGTTCTCTACACCAAAAGACAAAAACACTGGGTCATTATATAAAGAACTTTTAGATAATGCTATCAAAGGGTCAGCTTCCTCTCCAATTATTATGAATTATATCTCCCCAAAATCATGGTCTCAATTCCAACAGTCATTACTTCCCAGTTGATGGCGGGAAGCGACTCAGCATTTTGAGGAGTGAAATAGAGGTGAGTACAGTACAGCCCAGATTAGCATACTCAGTCATACATAAAGATCAGCAGTCCTAGATATACAGCTCTGGGAGTAAGTAAAAATAACAGCAGTGTAAGTCTTATGGGAAACAGAGGAGTACTAGAACAGGCTTCCATCATACCAAGGTTTCACTGCTTGACATTTAAAGGGTCAGTAGTTAAAATGAACATGATTCATGTACAACACATATTTTGGTTATAAGGTAACTCAAAGAGAGAGGAAAAAAACTTTTTTTGATTATCTTAAAAAAATATCGAACGAGTCGATTTCCGCAGCGGAATGGCCTCTAAGAGGCCTGCAGAAAGGGGTTGATTTCTAGTCAAAATGCAAATTAAGTACAAGTTATTACATTTTTATTGTCAGAAAAAATGAAAACATATAAAACAGAAAATTACAAAGAACTTTCAATAGCTTTTTTCATTTTTTCAGTATTTTGCCTCTATTAAAGCTTCCATTCTTTTCAGGAGACTTGCTTTTAGTTTTTCAAAGAAATCTGCAAGGATGTTTTCCACACCTCCAAAGTTCAGTCTTAGTAGTTGGTTGCATTTTCTGCCTCTCACAAGCCAAGTAATCCCAAACACTTACAATGCTGTTGAGGTCTGGGGTGGTTCTGGGAACACTGTGCAGCTTCTTCGTTCAATTTGTCAATTTCCTTGTTTTCTCAGGAACAGCTTCTTGACAGCTACACATCCTTTCAGACCCATAGCACTGAGTTGTCTTCTCACAGTAGAAGGATGGACAGAAACAGCTGTGGATTTTTTCAAATCTGAAGCAAGAGTGGAGCTTGATTTTCTCCTCTCTCCAAAAGATGAAAGCTTTAAGGGCTATTTATCTGATGGTGATAAACAGTCACCACCTGTTTTGGTGGTCCACCAGGTCTTGCACAGTAGTTATTAGTCCCATTTTCGCTACATCTTTCAATCATTTTTTAACTCCAGTTTTAGCGACTACTTTATTAATTTATTTTCCTTTGCCTTTTCCCTTCTTTATGTATATATCTCTTCTCCTCAGAAATATCTCCTGAAATATCTCCATTTAGTGGTTAAGTATGTTATGACTGCATACCCACCATAAGCTCTTCCAACCCAAATTCTACACTGTATCATTCTACTAGTGGAGTCACCACAGTTTTGTAAGTTCTAAAAGACTAAAACACATGGCCTTCAGAGTAAAATAATACTTGCACTGAGTTTCCAAAACATTAGACTACTTTATACCTAATGCACACTCATAGTGCTTCTGACCAGCTGTGAGATAAAACATCTGTTTTAAAACCATAGTTGTATTCAGAAGTTAGCTGAACGACTGTAGCATATTTTAAGCCATGCAAGTCTCCTTTGGTCTGTTGCACTAACAACCTGTTTCTAATCACAGTGTGGCTGTTAACTAGATGCACTGCCTAAGTATGGTATTTATAAGTATATGCTGGTATTTATAAATATATGTAGAGCACAAATGTTCATATGTAGAACAGTAGCCTACAAATTGCAGAGGCAAGCAATATGCAAATAAGGCTCTATCAGTCACTTAATGTTACTGTGCACGTCTTGACCAATTACAGATGTTCTTTGAGTGTTTGAATGCAACTGCAAAGACCGAACAGTTTTCTTATCTCAGTTTTCTTACATACTGACTGCACTGACACAGGAATTAATAAAAATAAACCCCCAAGTGACTTCTCTCCAGGATTTTCATTTGAAACCATCGCAACCAACGGTCCTCTCGAGTTAAGAAATACCCACAGGCGCTAAGCGACCAGCGAGTTGGGCGACAAGAGGTGAAACGTCGCTGCCGGTGTGAACGCAGGGTGAACGCCACACGCACAGGTCCAGCTCAATGTTCAGGTCTCAAATACAAAATCAACATTATACTCATGAAAATATATTGACAATAGAAGATGAGTCACTTATATCCTTGGACGACACGTCTCCCGAGTTCGCTTTTAATACTCCTTCAATGCACTCGCAATCATCAGGTTCATCTACTCAGGGAAGGGGTCCAAAGCTCAACCCATGTTACAAAACGTTCTTCCAAGCCTTGCATACAATTACACATTTCCACTAGTGAGGTCTCCAAATCCCCAAATCGTACATAGTGTAGCTTTAACAATCGCAGTAATAACATTTAAAGTCAACAGACCATTCCAAGCGAAAAGTCACTTTGCTGTCCAGATAACAACAAAGTTTTTTTTTGTTCTAGCAATTGAGAATTGCATGCTGCATACAACATTGTAAATGCTTTATAATTAAAAAAAATCTCTGCAACAGCATTCAGATTTTAAGCCAGATGTGCAACATGCTGTCTTGTATATCGCAGATGGGTAATTTGTGGGCCCTGTGGGCTCCATTTACAATGGCAAACAACTCCACCCGTTTGGAATTACACTATTCTCTATGGAGACACTGGTTTTTACATCTGGTTCTTTATATCTATAGTGCTGTGTCTGATCTCAATTCAGATTTATCTCATTAACCACAAGTGAAGTTGAACTTGATGACACATAATTCCTGTTTCTATGTCCCTCACTGTCACAATGACCCATGAGAAGTAACGGTACTTTTGCTCATTGACCTTCCTCTTTTGTGAGGCTGCGCTCCTTAAATGTGAATGCTGTTCTCGTCTGACATGTTCACTGACATGTTCTGTTAGTATAATATTAGAAATACAGCACTGGTTGCTCATATTTCAACATTTAGAGAGTCTGTGTTTACTCATTAAAATGGAGACAAACTTGACCCTCATCTACCTTACGCTGTATTGACTACAAATATTTCTGACCATTATTTTGCTAAAAAACAACATGCAATAGTCAGTCTGGATAAAGCAAAACAGTGGAAATTTTGCCAGCCCTGCCGCATATCTGTGGCTCCATCTGGCACTTCACTCTGCGCAGTGTTTTGACTTGAGTTAGGAAAGACTGGTATGCCTGATTGTATTCATGAGCACAAGCTCTGCCTGCATACAACAGATGTTTAAGAGATATATCCCCACATGTTTGTTGAGCGTGGGTTCCATCCATGTTCTCTCTTACTTGCTATTGTTTGTGAACAAGCACATATGCAGGGTGACAACCATGAAGTTTATCTGAAAGTGTAATACTTACAATGTTTTGTTGTTGTTTATTACAGCCTTTATGATTAATTGCAGTTAATTCAAATAGTTATGCATGATATGAGTCTTTCAAAATCCACTGGTTTGATAAAGCATAGCACTTACTTGCTACCACATCTTATCTATAAGCAAATCAGTGTTGATAGCAAATCTTATTTATTGTAATCTGGCACACATCTTTTTTGCAGGTCTTGTGAAAGCCCTGCAATACAAGTTTGAGACCATGTGCACAGTGGAAAAAGAACAAAGCTCACCTATAGGACATGCACAACTGCGGGAATGTAAATAAAACTTTGCTGAGCCTCCAGCTTAGGCTTAAAGCAGCTTAGTCTTTATGTGACTATTTTATCCAGCCATCATCTCCACAATCCTAAACCCTAATGGTCCACCTAAACTGATGTGCACTGTTTGTATTTCAGTGAATCTCTTTAAGAGGAAGTGTGTACAGTGCCTAAAAGCACACTCCAGTAAAAGTGCTTCAGTGAAATAATGACCAAGCAGAAGTAAAGGAAGCTACCAAAACCAACTTCAGTATCAGGTCAAACAACTCCTAAAAGACTGAATTTCCTACAGAAGTGCAGCTTAATGTGTGCAAGCAGTCCAAGTGCTGAACCACACACACACTATCTAATTATTATCTAAGCTGCTTGTCCTTATGGGTAGGTGAGCAAAATAAAGTTATACAGAAAAACAGGCTAAATTCCTTTTCTCACAAAAAATAGATTTCTGTTTCTCACACAAAAACAGAACAGAATTAGTCATGTTTAACTGGATTTAGTGTAGCAGAGTATCTGAAACACTGTATAAAAATCTCTGTGCTCATCCTCGATCTCACGGTGTTTGTTATTGTTGGTTAAATGTGGCACTACTGGTAGTTTTTCATCTGTTCCAACATATCAAACCTCAGAAAAACTAAATACTGTGATGTAAGATTTTTGAGATGATTGCCATATCGTCCACCCCCTACTATTAGGTCAGGAAAACTCTTCAAGTACTAAATATAGAAGTGCAGTAAAACTTGTGGAGGTTTGTACAGATTCTATCAGCACAGCAACAGGACTGAAGTTCATTTTTAAAACCATTTTGGTCTAAAACGGAATGCTAAACATCCAAAGTGAGAGACGTCCATTTGAACAAACACAACAAAGTGAAATTAAACAGAAAAAACAAGAATTTTTATAAAAAAAAAAAGTTTTGAAAAGTCCAAAAAGCATCACATTTTACTTAATATATATGCAATTATATCCTAGCTACCCACATCTCCATTTCAAAAATGCTCAAAGCAAAACAACCATTAAAAATGCCATTTTTAACGAAACAGCGTTAAAATATCTTAATGAGTCATCATTGTGTGAAAAGTTGAGCAGGCTGACCGTGTGGTGATTGGGAGGCTGAAGTTGGCTTCCTTTTCGCCAGCTTCTTGTTTGAATTTTCCCGTTCCACCTTAAATAGCGCAGCAGCTACATTCTGGCGCCTGAAGCTGAGCCACTAGAACGTAACTGCTGCACCATTTAAGGGGGAACGGGAAAATTGGAACAAGAAGCTGACAAGTTGTGACTTTACCTGCTTTCTCCTCCGGCTCTGTCCGTCACTCCTCCTCTTCCTTATCGATCAGTGAGCAACAAGATGTTCATCCGTCATGAAATCGTACCTTCAGTTCACATATTGTCACTAAAGTGCTCCTGAATGGAAACGATTAAGTTTCTAGCACCACTTTGAGGACTTTAAGGAGGAGTTGCCAAACCACACCACAGTCAGTGCCTCTGGTATCCAGATGTGCAAAAACCACGCCGTATTAGCACATCCTCAGCTTCGCTGACAGACAACCTCGACTTTTAGAGAAGACCATACAGTTACGCCAGGTTTACTAGCTTCTTAACGCCTCGTCTCCAAGTGCACTGTTAGCTTCCTTCTTACGCGAAATATGAAGAAAATGACGTCGCTGTTACCAAAATAAGCTCTAGGGGAAGCGCAGACGAGCGGAGGCTCGGCTAACACGGCTAATCTTCAGCTAAATCTCGAGGTGATAAACGGTGAATTCGAAGCGAGGGCTCCGGAGCACTGCTGGAGGGCTTCCGCTTCTAAATAAACATTCCTCCTCCAGCGACTCCTTCCTCAGACTTCATCTCGATAAAGTACAACCCAGACCTCGCCGTGTTCCTGATTTAAGAGTTAGATTACAGATTCTGAAATACACAGCTGTGTCCCACCCCTCATTGTCTGGCGCTGGAATGCTCTCTCATTGCTGTTTTCCTGTCCCTGACAAACCTTTCATTTTCCCTCTCTCGTTTTTTCCCCTTCACAGCGTGTCGTCTATGAATAGAGGCTGTTGAGTGGGCTTCCTCATGTTTCTGACGACCTTAATATTCATTATGCGCATCTAAACATCTGAAAATTTGCTTTTGGTCGGATAAATAATCACTAAATTATTTTGTAGCTTATATTTAGCAAAAAGTAGAATAATAGATAGGTAACTATTTGCATTTGATCCGTTAGGTGTACTTTTGTGTTCAATTTGTATTTTTTGAACTATTCTACTTTTTACTCTGTCACATTTTAGTTATTAAAGGGCCCATATGCCCCAATAAAAAACAAAGTCTACTTATATTTGTGTGGATTTATTTATCAGAACCATCTATGTTTAATTTTTTACATGACCATTTTCCAGCCTCTCTTAATTCCTCAGAATAAACAGGCTGTTTTTTCGTTGCTGTGCCTTTAAGACTGTGCTATGTAAATGAGCTCTCTTTTTAATTGGCTGCCCTGTATTGTCCCTCTTTCAAGCAGGCAACTGATTCATTACTTGCAACTTCAGCTAAAGTTGTTTGCACTAGTTTTTGTGACATCACAAACACATTGAACTCAGACCAGGATGTTTTCACAGCTTGGTTTTCACAAGTATGAACTGGCGAGTGATGCTTACATGTTACATTAAACTCTTATTACAAAAACGTTAGTGAGTTTTCATGATATGTAGGTATTAATTCCTTTTAAGTATTTAATTTCATTATGTTTTTGTTATTGACTGTGTTGTTTTGTGATTGGACACACCTCTGACTTTGGAGCTTTAGCATTTTATTTTAGACTAAAAAAAAATAATAATAAAAAAATAGAAGAAAAACATCTAACAAACTTCTGCTCCTCTGCTGATAGATGCTTACCTGTAAGATTTTTCATTGCAGTTCTAGAACTTATTCAGTACTCATGTAGTTTCTTGACCTGGTACTTTTGTACTTCTCAAGTTATATTTTTGGAAAGGTGCTTTTACGTCTATGCGAGTCACTGTGTCACTAAAATAACAATACTTTTACTGAAGTTTGGGTGTAGACTACTTTACCCACCTCTGGCTAGAATTAATCACGATGTATCTTTCTGAGGGCCAGTGAGAATTTGTAAGAGCCTGAAACATGCGTTGGTCTTTATAGCACTTCTTACAAGTGGATATTAATGTACTGTTTTGTGGTTTTACAAGAGCAGACGGAATTCTAAGCTGGAGACAGACTGGGCGACAGGATCGCAGCCTAATGCCCCGAAGGAATAAGGCTAAGCAGCATCTTTCCAAACAGCCTCTCATGGAGGCCCAAACAGGCACAAGCATTTGGGTGATGATGATGACACATAGCTCAGACTTATTTCAGAAGAACAAACTGCATTGTTAATCACTGCACAGAAACTTCTGGGAATTTACGACTGGCATACTCCTGATGAAATTTTAAGAGTCCTGGAAATGTGTGGGAAATTCTTCATCTCTTAATTTTGTAATGAAATTTTACAGACATTCCTGAATATGCATTCTGTTTAAGATTTCTGGCTAATATGCGTAGAGAAGGTGTCTTCATATTTCTGGAAGTTTGTTTTGACCTAAAAGCTGCACAAATACTGTGCAAAACTGTGAATTGTGTTTTGAAACAACACAACACACATGTTTATCCTTAAATAAAAAGAAATCATTGCATGAACTTAATTCCACACATTTTCATTCAAACAGTGTCAGCATATACATGCTTTATTACAACATTAATTGCAATTGCAATTGGTTCTTTGTTTGAGTGTAATTAAGCCACATATTACCTTAGAAAAAAATGGTTAGAATAATTCAAGATTTTAAATCTTCTTAAGTGAATATATTTGCCATTTTTATTGTAAGAGAAAGATGTATTTTGTTTAATATTTTTGTAACCTTAAACTTATGACCACTATGACAATGGTGGAGTCGACATCTACAGAGAACCAGTTCTCTCTTGAAATTAACAAAAAATAATTTATGGCATTTGGATGTAGGTTTGATATAGACAAGATTTGATTATATGGAAGTCACTGTATTTTACACAATCTGCACATGGTGTATAAAGTGCTTATGAGTGGGTTTCTGTGTCTGGACAGGGTGTTCTTTTTTATGTTTGTGGATTTGGCAAACGTGATCAATATTATTTTACAATTACAATTTTACTACGTTTTTGTTCCATTTTTCTCTCCTAAATGACATTCTCTCTTATGTGCTCAGTTTAATTAAGGCACCAATCATATTTCACTCCAAACAATTACTCGCATAAATAGACCAATCAGATAAGAGTGATTTAAAAGGCCGCTAATTTACATATTCGGTTAGTCCGCAAGGGAAAATTGGGTTTTCCTTGGTGCTGTTTTGTCGTATTTGAGCCGGTAAATTGTGTTATCTTCAGTCTTCATGAGGAACTGAACAAACTGTTGATTTTGAGGAGCAGACGAAACACAGCGACCCAAATGCTGTTAAAAGGCTGCGGTAAGTTGCAAAGCTAACGTTGCTAATAACGTCAACTAGTTAGCTTAGCTAAGATAGCTAAGTTAACGTTAGTTAGGGTTAACCAGCTACCGTTAGTTATCTGTTGTTGGTGGACTGGTGTTTCGTGTGCTGAAAATGGTGGGAAACGATTTACAATGTCTTCTCTGAATCTCTTACCAGCCTGTGCCCATGTTATGTATAAATATATTCCCGCTATGCAAATATATAGTTAAATTTTCAACTTTGAGTTTATTGTGAACGTGTACGGTGTTTGTATTAATCGAAACATAACGGCTAATAACAGCAGGAAAGGGTTCACGCGCTAAAATCGAGTAAGCAATGCTCACAACGCTCTCTCTGCCAATTTACATGTTCTGGCTCTTCGTGTCGTCATTTTGTAGTCTCTCTTCATGGCTCTGGTCGGCGCCATGTTCATATGCCCATATAAGGAACTCCGGGTCTAAAAAGAAATTCTCTATGAGAAGAATAAACGGAGTTTTTGAAAACTGCCTCTGTCGCATCTCGTGATAATCAAAAAATGTTTCAGAGCTGATACGTTTTGTCCCATGAACATTCTTCTCTCGAATATCACTCGATCATCTGAATTACGAGGTCGTAAAAGAGTTGCAATATGAATATTGCTACATGTAAGCTAATGCTACTGCGCACTGAACTGACGTTATTAGACTGGCACCCTCTTTAAAAAACACGCAAACCAGCACGCTTTGGTAAAGTGTTTTTCCAGGTACAGACTGAGGGCAGATGAAAAGAAGTCAGAATAACCCCCTGATCAACTGATTTAGGCTATCAAAATATCATAATTATTTTTATAATGCTGGTAACATTTCTGGAGGACTCTTACCAGCTGCTTGTTCGAATTTTTCCGTTCCACCTTAAATGGTGCAGCTTAGTGACATCAAATTGATGCACGGTAGTATTAGCTTGCATGTAGCAATATTAGTAGTAAGGCTCTTAAACAACCTCTTAATTCAGAGGTCGCTAAAGAGCCTTCTTAAAAACCACGCAAACCAGCACGCTTTGCCAGTGTGGTGGTGTATACCCATCTACAGACTGAGGGCAGATGAAAAGAAGTCAGAACAAAAGAAACAGGTTTCCCTATTAAGTTACGATGCAGTTATCTCTTCTTCATCTGATGCTGAAACACGATAGATCTTTCCATTCTGTTCTTAGCTTGATTTGAAAAGCTCTACAAACTTACTTGCACTCAGGCTAATTCAGTACAGGCTCAGTTTAATATTACTGCTCACCCCCTGCTAAGCTGTGGAGAGTTGAAAGGCATAATATGCTCTGGAGAGTAGTCCCTGTAGTTTTAATGCTGCAAAACTCACAAAAACCTTTTGTCCAGTTCTTACTTCCTCATATGTCAGGCAACACACACAAAAAAGAAAGGACTATTATTTTGACATGCTTTCACAAAAAAGGGCCAAATACTGCATCATAAAGAAGACACCAAGTGACCTTCACGGTGCAATGCCAAGGTCAGTAGCCCTTTAACAAATTTTGGAAAAAATGTTATTTTTGATTGGTGGTTAGAATGGGTCAGTTTACCATGTCAGGTGGTGTGACTTCAGGAAAACCATGAAAATGTGCATTTATTATTATAATGCTTATTTATTTGACAGAGTGCAAGCATAAACTCAAGTTCAAGGACAAAGGTTTTTACAGGTGTAGATGCCTGTTTAATTTGAAATTAGTCTGAAAAGTCAGATGGCACAACCAATAAATCAAATAGTGCAACCAGACCAGTACACTTTTAATAACTGAGACAGGCAGTTTAAGGTTTGATAACACTAACTAGATTTAAGATATAAAATGCACATAGATTATAAATGCAAATATATGTACTCATATCAAAATGCACATTTCTTTTAAATAAGATTTTTTAAAATTGTCATTTCAAAAACCTGTATATGTATGTGTACACATGATACCTAATAATATATATTGTTTTATTGTTCTGTATAGTATTTATTTTTTTGTGTATTTATTGCTACGTATATTTGTTGTCTGCTGTATTATTGTATATTCTCCATTCGTTTCACACTGTTGTGTATGTACACTCTGTGTAGTCCTGTGTAATGTAATGCTGTTGTGTGTTGCACCATGTGGCCTGAAGAAGAGCTTGGGGGAGAGGCCTTTCCGGCAGCGCAGAGTAAGCTCCCAGACTCTAGCTGCTAGCTGAAGCTCCTGGCTCTCGACCTGCTCGTTATAGTTCCACTGTGTCTGTCATCCTTTGCACCGCCCATGGCCTTTGGGGATCAGAGCCAACTGTCTCTGATGCTGTGTGTTCAGGTCTTCCCGGCTGACGGCTTCCCCTGCAGAGAGTGAAGGCCATGCTGCCGGAGAGCCCCGATGCTCTGCTGCTAGCCACCGCGAAGAGCTTCCCATGTCCCGTCTCCAAGCCCAGTGTTTCCTTCCTGAGGTCAAGCACAGCCCCAGCTGCCGCGAGGAAATCCAAACCAAGTATGCACGTATCCTGTAAAGGAGCAAATCAGAACTCGTGCATTCAGCTCAGGCCCTTG